AGCTATAGACATTTTCAAAGAAGCAACAGTAAGACTGTTGTTGAAAAATTCCAACAGAAATTACAGAAGTCGGAAGATAAGGTAATGACATCTTGAAAGTGCTGAAAGAACACAACTGTCAACTTACAATTCTATTCCCAGGTTAAAATATCCTTCAAAAATAAAGACAAAATGACATTATTTCCAGATAAAAACTGACAGAATTTATTCTAAGCAGAACTAAAAAATAATAAATGGAGTTCTTCATGAGGAAGAAAAATAATACCAAATGGAAGGATAGAAATACAGTAAGAAATGAATAGAAACAGAAAGGGTAAATATGTGGGATAACTTCTAAAAGAACACTGAAAGATTTATATTTAACGAGGTAATGGGGGATGTAGGAAAAAAAAGATTAATCCAAAAGAAGGCTAAAATAGAGAGACAGACAGACACACACAGATAGGTGGAAAGGACTATAGGATAGGTGGGACAAACAGTAAACAACTACTATGACTGTTAACCCACATCTGTAAGATTACATTAAACATAAATAACTTTTCTGACTAAAAGATAATTATTTTCAAACTGGATTAAAAATACACGTTCCATTTAATCAATAATTATAAAGATAGCACCCATGTAGCCACTACTCAGGTAAATAAATATTAAATCACAAGCACTTCAGAAACCCATGTGCCTCTATCCTATATCATAAATTTCCCCCATAAATAACATCTGTGGTACTAATTTCGATCTTTTACTCTAGATTTACCATCTGGCTTTGAATCCCTAAACAATATATTTTGGTATTTAGCTGCTTTTGAACTTCATATAAATGGAATCATACTACTTTTTTGTGTCTGCTTCTCAGTAATGCTTTTGTGGGAGTAACTCCCTGCTTCTTGTGACTGCAGTTCCCTCATTTTCATTAAGGTACAGCATTCCACTGTATGGATTTACCACAATTTCTTTTTCAATTGTAGATGGGCATTTTTTACTTCCAGTTTTTGGCTATTAAGGATAATGCTGCTAATAAACATTCCTACATGTATATCCTATTGCATATGTGTACATATCTCTAGCTAGGATATATATATCAAGGGTTGGGACTGCTAGGTCAAAGAACATTCATATCTTCAATATTTCTACATAATGCCCAATTTTTTCTAGAGTACCATAACAAATTACTCACCAAGCAACAAAATAGTAAATAAAAACAATTCCCTTTATTTTGAAATCTCACCAATACAAGATATAGTCAGGTTTTTAAATTTTTAATTTTTTCCTTACCTGATATGAAATGGTATCTCATTGTGGTTTTAATTTGCATTTCCCTGATTACTAATGAAGGCAAACACATTTTCATATATTTATTGGCAATTTGGAATTCCTCTTTTGTGAAGTGGAAGTACAAGTCTTTTGCCCATTTTTCTTTTGTATTATCTGGCTTTTTACTCATTGATTTGTTCTTTATATATACTCTGGGTACTAGTCTTCTACAGGTTATATGTGCTGCGAGTATCTTCTCCCACTCAATGGCCTGTCTTCTCACTATCTTTATAGTGCCTTTTGAGAAGAGAAGTTTCTAATTTTAACATAGTAAAATTGATCAATTTTTCTTTTATGGCAAGAGGATTCGTGTTGTCAGAAATTTTTCCCTATCCAATTCATGAAGACATTCTATTTTTTAAAAGCCTTATAATTTTCCTTTATTTAGTTCTTTAATCCACAGGAGATTAATTTTTTTGTATAGCCTGACGTAGGGGTCCAATTTCATATTTTCCCAACGTTAATAGCAAATTAAAACAGCACAATTTACTAAAAGTCAATCATTTCCCAAACGATTTGCCACACAATCTCCACCACATATCACATGTACATACATGCATGGGTTTCTGTACTCTCTATTCTGTTACAATGATCTATTTGTCCAGCACTTGCCAATGTCACATTATCCTAATTACTGTAGCTTTGTAATGTCCTGACATCTGATAAATTCCTCCCATTTTTTTTTCTCTACTTGAAAGAGTATCTTGAGGGCTGGCTGGTTAGCTCACTTGGTTAGAGGATGGCCAGGATTCGGATCTGTGTAACAGCCAGCCGCCAAAAAAAAACAAAAAAAAAAACTTGGCCTCTTAACCCCTGCCATTTACATATAAATTTTGGAACCAAATCAGCTTATTAAGTTCCATAGAATTACACACTGGGAAACTGACTAAAATTATAATCTATAGAATTAATTTGAATAAAAGTGAAAACATTTTATAATACTGCTTTGTACAAACCATAAACATAGCTCCTCTCTCCATTTAATTTTTCTTTAATACCTCTTAATAATTCATAATTTTCTTCAGTTATTTCATATCTTGTTAAATGTATTCCTTAGTACTTGACATGCTTTGGTGCTGCTCTAACAGTATTATATCTTTTTAAAAATTTCATTTCCTAATCATTTATATCTGATATATAGGAATACAATTGATTTCTTATATATTTGAGTTTAGCAATCTTGTACAACCCTTATTAATCCTAATAATTTACTTGTAGGTTCCCTTGGATTTCCTACCTGTACACCCCAAACATTCAAAAACACACCCCAATCATCCAAGAATATTAATAATATTGCTCCTTCTTTACCAATCCTTTATATTTTTTTCTTTCATATTTTTGCATTCTTGCATTAGTTAAGCCATCCAGTGTGTTATAAAAATGGTGACAACAGGCATCTTCCTCCTTTTCTGTATCTCAAAGGGAACACTTCCAGTGTTTCACCATAAGACTTGTTTTAAAGTATTTGTAGGTACTCTTTATCAGATGAAGTTACCTCCTATTCCAAGTTTGCCACGAATATGTTTTAGTCATAAACAGATATTTTATCAAATCCCACCATCTACTGCAAGCTGATAATGATTATTCTCCTGGAAAATTACATTAATTGTTTTTTCACTGTTAAATCAACATTGCAGCACTCCAGAGACAAACAATTTTTATAGATTGTTAAACGTGGTTTACTAGTATCTTGTTTAGGACATCTGCATCTGTTTTGTAGTTTAAAATGTGCTGTAATTTTCCATTTCTGTAAAATTGTAAAATTGATTTTAGTATCAAGATTATGCTAGCTTTATAAAATGAACTGAAGAATGTCCCTCTTCTTCTGTTCTTTGGAAGAGTTTTTTTGATATTACTTCTTCCTTAGATGTTTTATAAAACTCACATTGAAGCCATCAGGGCCAAGTTATTCATTTCTCACACCTATTCACACACTCACCATGGGCTAAGAGTGCTTCCTGAAACAGTTTCATATAGCAGGTTCTTCCACTAGTATGCAACATAAGGTGAATTTGTTCATACCATAGATACAAGCCACTGATGCATCAGACATATTTGTCTTATAGTGCTGTCTTAATGGTGTCTTCCCTTTTGAGTTGCCATCACCAGCACTTTTCTTTTTTGTCACTTCCTGAGCTTCAGCACACGCATCAACAAATGGTAAAAACAAAGACTCACTGAAATGTGACTCTTGCCGTCACCAACTAAATGCCTTCTTTGCAGCAGCTTCCTGGTTCAAAATTAAAATGCAGGTCTCAATATCATGGAATATTAGGATATCTCCTGAAGAGTCAAAACTGCATGTGAAATCCTCAAATACCAAGAATCTACTGTAAATCGTGTAGATCTGTAATGCTTCTCCTTCATTTTATAGCATCCTTGTACATGCTTAGTTATTTGGGGGAAAGTGTGTTGTTCTTCAAACAATGGCCATCATTTAATTCACTTATTTTTGGTTATATATTTTCCTCTTTTTAAAAACTGAGTTACAATTTAATTTGTAAAAGTAAAACTGGGCTGGCTGGTTAGCTCACGCAGTTAGAGTGTGGTGCTGATAATACCAAGGTCAAAGGTTCAGATCACCATACTGGCCAGCCATCAAAGGAAAATAAACAAATAAATAAATAAACCTATAGGACATTTTAAAGAGTAAACGTTAGGAATAAATAATATTATAAAGCTCCAAAACCATTGAGAATCAACAGTGATGAGAAAAAGAATTCAATAATATGCTTCCCCACTCCTTTCCCAAACTGAACACTGATCCAGGCCAGGACCATGTTTGTCTGTTAAACTATACTTCTTCTCTTCCAGCCCCAAATCTTTTATGCTAGATTGAAGAACAGATGTCTCAGCTACTTTGTGATTCAATTAGATAAATAAGTTAACCTGTTCACTCTAATTCAAAGTTATCATGATACTACTTTCAACATGCAGGGAACTAATTTTAGGTACTTTATTCCAAGTCTCACCTACTCTTCTGTGTAAATTTTTTTAACCACTGTTTCATAGCACCTTGTTCTTCCATGTGTAGAATTAAAAATTACTGGGGGCATACCCATTACCAGAAATTACTTTTGTATCCCATGTCCCTCACATCATGAGCAGGAGGGGTGACAATTAGCTTTGTATCTCATGAATATTCTAAATAAATAAATAAATAAATAAATAAATAAATAAATAAATAAATAAATAAATAAATAAATAAATAAATAAATAAATAAATAAATAAATAAATAAATAAATAAATAAATAAATAAATAAATAAATAAATAAATAAATAAATAAATAAATAAATAAATAAATAAATAAATAAATAAATAAATAAATAAATAAATAAATAAATAAGTATCTCATGAATATTCTTAATAAATAAATAAATAAATAAATAAATAAATAAATAAATAAAAGAATTGAAAATTACTGGAGTGAGCCAATGGATCATTCCAATCACTACACCATAAATGAGAAGCATCACAACAAAAAACCTGATCACCTAAGCAATTCAAATGTTAAAAAACCAATGACAAAAGCTTTGGAGAACCAATTCCATTCCATAATGGACAAAAATAGTGTTCATGTGGATATGAAACTCTAAACTATCTTACACATAACTGAGAAAAGGGTATATGTTTATGAGCATATATTTAGAAAAATAAGTTTATATGCATGTTTGTAGAAATGCCTACCTTTCAGAAACAGACTCATTACTATCCAATGACAAACTGATTTTTCCACTTGCATTTTCTGAAGGATTAGAAGGTTCACAGTTCACAGAAGTCATCCTTTCAACTGGACTATTAACTGACTCTTGATTCTTATCCAAATTCATGGTCTCTGAATTTGGGACCTGTTAAATGGGTGAGGAAAAAGCAGTTGAGTGGAGGGTTACTAATCGTGTTCTTCCACACAAAATTAATGATAGGTAAAATTTCACTTGCAAAATATTCTCAAAATCTTCTTACATATGCATGCCAAAACATATGAAATTATATGTATTTCAATGGCTGATGACCATGATTGTAATTTCTCTTCCAAAATGAATTTTAAAGAAGACTCCAAAGAAATAAAAATGATGATACAAATAAACTTCCTTCCTTAGATGGAAAGAAGACAAATATCTAGATACTTGGACAACATTTTATTCCTATTAGACTAAGTTTTAGGAACTAATAAACGTTATACTTTAACAAGAAAATTTTTTACTTCTGTTAGCCTTCTAATAAAGACCAGAAATAAATTAGATTACCAACTCACTCTACCAGCTGGTGAATTTGCTTAAAACTTGGAGCTTAAATATTTAGTCCACACTTTGGTTGAGAACTTGCAGCATTTAAAATATGTATATAAGACAGAGAATAACAAATGCTAGTGAGGATGCAGAAAAAGGGGAACCCTTATACACTGTTGGTGGGACTGTAAACTAGTACAGCCATTATGGAAAAGAGTATGGAGGTTTCTTAAACAGGTACAGATAGATCTGACATACGATCCAGCAATCCCACTTCTGGATATATACCCAAAGGAATCGAAATCATCATGTCGAAAGGATACCTGCACTCTCACGTTTACTGTAGCTCTACTTACAATAGCCAAGATATGGAACCAACCTAAATGCCCACTGACAGACAACTGGATAAGGGAAATGCGGTTTATATACACAATGGAATACTACTCAGACATAAAAAAAAGAATGAAATTCTGCCATTCACAGCAATAGAATGAGCTTGGAGAAAATTATGTTAAGTGAAATAAGCCAGTCACAGAAAGAGAAATATCACATGTCCTCACTCATAAGTGGGAGCTAAAAAAATAAAAGAGAAAGAAAGAAAGAAAGAAAGAACAGAACTGTAGTTATTACAGGGGGGAAAGGGGGGAAAGGGGGGAGTGGAGAGGGGGTTAGTAAGAAATTCGTTAATGGACACAAAGAATGATTACATTTTGTAACAATGAATAAGCAATTATCCTAACTTGATCATCACACATTGAACACATTGATATTCAACTCTGTACCCCACAAATGTATAATTATGTTTCAATAAAAAAACCCCATCATGTTGTACAACAAAAGTATGTACAATATTTGTCAATTAAAAATAAATAAAATATATCTATATATTAATCAATTCAAAACAATTAACTGATTGCCCAATTCATGGACTTTTCTAAGGGACAGCATGAACTGCAAAAATGCAGTTACACAAAGGCAGAATTTAGAAATGTTATCATAGTAAGTGAACAGATTTTTTATGTAGAAATAGGTTTAAATAACATTGGAAAGCAACAGCAAAAAATACTTGGTATCCTTTCAGCTCCAGGATAAGGTGGCATAGACTTACTTTTCCCTGCTATTCCCCTACATCTATGACATTTGAAACCATTGAAATAATTCAACAGATAATCATAAAACAACTCTGAAAAGTGTAAAGAAAAAGGCAAGCTGGCTGGGGACCTCATGATTGAGGAGCAATAGCACAGTGAGTGTCCTGAGTTTTATTTTCATTCTCCATCTATCCTGTGTTGAGTACCAAAGAAGCCAGGGACCCATCCCTCGCCCTTAACCTATACAGAGGTGGCTAGCCCCTGACTCCAAACCTGTAGAATTAGGGGGCCCAATTTATCACAGTAGCAGAGTCAGCTGGGTCTGCATGTGACACCTGGGACAGCAGTAGCTTAATCGGCTGCAGCAGCAGTGTTAGCAGAGCCTAACCAGGGGCCAATGCCCAGAACTCTACACCCAGAACAGCAGCGAGTCCAATCCGCTGCAGTAGCAGTGGGGCTATCATCCCAAATGTGAGATAGCGGAATGGCCTGGACTACTGAAGCATTAGCAACACCCCTGCTCCACACCAGAGGCAGCGGCAGGCCTAATCCACCACCATGGCAGTAACCACAGGCCAATGGTTCCTGAACTTCCCAGCCAACAGCACTGAGTATTGAGGTGGTAACGTGCAGAGACTGAAATGAAGGTCCAGTGGAGCCATAAAAGTGAAGCCAACCTGAAAAGCACTGTAAGAGCTCTTTACTAGAGATGGGAAAGGGGGAGAGGAAAGGGGAACTAGAGAGTAGTTGGTTAAGGAACACAAAGAGTAATTATGATTTGAAATGATGAACATGCTAATAGTATTGATTTGATTATCACATACTGTACACATACTGATAGTCAACTATGTTCCCCATAAATGTCTAATCAAAAATGCACAAATATTTTGGGAAAATAAATAATTTAGTTACAAGCAAAAGAAGAAGAATTAAATACTCATTTGAAGAAACTAGAAAAGGAATAAAACAAGCCCAAATAATCCAGGTAATGAAATTTAATAAAGAAAGCCAACAGTGATGATCAATTAATCAGTCATTAATTATGTATGGCTTGTTAGTATGTAAGCAAAGTGTACTCTTTTGAAAACATGAAATAATGAAGTTGTTTTGGAAACCAAAAAAAAAAAAAAAAAAAACCAGTAAATTGTCATTGCAACTGTACCTCTCAAGAGAAAGCGAGGACCTACACACTAAACCTAAACAGGGTAAATGCCCGCTGAAAGAGAGTTCTACGCCTAATCTCTTCAAAGAGCCCCCCGTGCGATTGAAGACTGTGACCTTTTGATCCTTCCAAAACACTAGCAAAAGGTTGTCCGGCCACACCCTTGGCTTTACAGAGCATGCTTTTCATACAGTGAAGCTCCTAATTTTAGAGTTTTTTGCAATTTGAATAGGCTGAGAATTTCCCAAATTATCAAGTCTTAGTTCTTTTTTGCTAAACAGTTACTCCTTCAATTTTACCATAAGAAGCTAGAATAAACTAGGCCAAACCTTCAACATTTTGCTCAGAAATCTCGTCAGCCTAATAAAAATCCAAGTTCACTGCTTAGGAGTTTCGCTTTCCATATAACTGTAAGACACAATTCAGCTAAGCTTCCTGCCACTTTATAACAAGAATCCTCTTTCCTCCAGTTTCCAATAACATGTCCCTCATTTCCTTTTCAGTCCTCACCAACAGTGCTTTTGATGTCCATCGTTCTACCAACAGTCTGCATATGAAGATTTAGGTATTCTCAAGTCTGTACAGGTTTTCTCTACTGTCCTCATTTCCTTCTAAGCCCCCACTGGCAGTCTTTAATATCCATATTTCTACCAAGAGTCTTTTCAAGGCAATCTAGGTTTTTTAAAGATCATGTTCCTCAAAATTCTTCCAGCTTCTACTCACTACAATTTCAAAGCCACTGCCACATTTTTAGGTACTTTCTGGTACCAAATTCTGTATTAGTTTCCTGAGGTTGACAACCACTAACTGCATGGCTTAAAACAACAGAAATGTACTCTATCACTGTTCTGGAGGACAGAAGTTTGCTATCAGTTTCACAACACTAAAGGTGTCAGCATTCCTTCTGTAGGCTTTTTTCTAGCTTCGAAAGGTTGCCTGCATTCCTTGGCTGGAGGCCCCTTCCTCCATCTTCAATGTACATCTTTCCAACCTCTGCTTCCATTGTCCCATCTTCTCCTCCTGCCTTTGACCTCCTTGCCTGTTTTTTCATAAGGATCCTTGGGATTACCCTTGAGCCCACCTGGATAACTCAGGATACTCTCCCCATCTCAAGGTATTTAATTTAATCATACCTACAAAGCTCCTTTTACCATGTAAGGTAACATATTCACAGGTTGTAGGGATTAGGTTATAAACATTTGGCGGGGGGGGGGCATTATTCACCCTACCACAGCATAGGAGGTCTGAACTACTACCAATCACCTTGGTACAATTAACACAAAAGTGACATTTATAGAACATTACAGTCAACATGCTATACATAGAACATTCACCAAGTGAAATCACATGCTGGCCGATAAAATAAGTGTCAGGTTGGTCGGTTAGCTCAGTTGGTTAGAGTGCCGCCTTGTAACACCAAGGTCAAGAGTTCAGATCTCCATACCAGCCAGCAGCCAAAGAAAAAACAAAACAAAACAAAATAAATTTAATGTTTGCATATAATAAGTGTCAGTAACTCTTTAAATTTCACATAGTATGTTCTCTGACCAAAATGAAATTAAATTAGATATCAATAAAAATGAGAGACCTAAAAATGTCCCAAATATGTGGAAATTAAAACACATACTTCTAAATAATCCATGGGTCAAAGAATAATACCACAAAAGAAATGAGAAATTTTGAACTGATGAAAAACAAAAATGCAATATATCAAAGTTTATATTACAATCTTTGCCCTAAGAAGTGCATAATCTAAGCACTAAGAAGATGTCTACAAGGTGCTTAGAAAAAGTGGCGCTTAGAGGGAAATTTTGCTTTAAATGTTTTCTAGTAGAAAGGTTTAAGAATTATGCTCTTTCTCTCTTAAGAAGATGGAAAAAGAAGAAATTATATCCAAAGTAAATAAAAGAATCAGTAATAAAAAAAAAAAAAAACAAATGATAGAATAAAACTTTAAAACCCTTTCAACACCGATCAAGAAAAAAAGAAACATAGATTAACAATATCAGAAGTGAAGTATAGTAGTCACTATAGATCTACAAACATTAAAAGGACAAGGTGGCCTGGCTAGTTAGTTCAGTTGATTAGAGTGTGTTGTTATAACATCACGGTCAAGGGTCAAGGGTTCCCTGTATCAGCCAGCCACCAAAAAAAAAAAAAAAAAAAAAAAAAAAAAAAAAAAAAAAAAAAAAAA